TATGGATGTTGAGTAATCAAAGAATATCGGTAGACTGGGCAGGTTCAGAGAACAAGTGAAAGCCGCGGATGCTGAGGCGTAGCACAGGGGTAAGGGAGAGCTGACAATGAGTCGAGGTATGCCGAGTGGGCTGAGTTTAGCGCCGCTCCAACCCGTTCTACACCAGTTGTGGAAGTTAGATAGACGTCCTGATACGCCCCAGCATCAGCAAGCAAGCAAGACTGTGACTTGACTTTACTTTCGAGATAAATACCTGCAAATTTGGTCACTCACCAGATTTGTAAGGTTTCCCAGAAAACACGAATCCAGGCAGACTTGGAATGATAACATCGAATAGTAGCGGCCGTTTGACACCAAAATCGAAACCGAAACGGACAGGGTTCGTAAGTATTGGAATCACCTAGGAAGTTCTCATATATTCAAATCATATTTAATTCGGAAGGGTAAAGTTTACCTTGTAGAAATCCCAGTAGCTTCCCTGGAAAACCGTGGAGCATCAAGAGAGGTACTAAATTTTTGGATGGCTCCTTTGGCAACGAGATACGTAAGAAGTGTATCGAGAGACCTTCGATTTTAGTCCTGAAACAGTACAGGATTTTGCTTCGAAAGGGCTGAGAATAAGGCGCACCGCGTTCAGAAGCTTTGCCGATCACATTAGCCCAAGACAACGTGTCTTTCCGCATAGCTGTCAACCTATCTCTACTCATCTTTATGTCGGGTATAGCCCAGGAAATCCGAGTACAGGGCGCGTGATCGCGGCATTTCGCAAATCCCAATGGAGCGCGTTCCAGGTGCAATTCGGCGACGGGGGGGGGTTTGTACTATCATTGCTTCCTAGTTCCGGTTTACAAGTCTCACTCTGGCGAAACCTGTGAACTCTTGTGAAGCTGGAGCAAGGTCGTCAAGCCATCATGGTAAAACCTGTCAACTCGAGAAGAAGCTGTCAATAGGTTAACACGTCGATGGGAGTAGCAAAGTACAAAATGCCCCCCCCCCCCACAAAACCGAACTGCGCCCGCATATCATTATACATGTCGGCTCGTCAGTCCATTTCACTTATTCGATGTGGGTAAAATGAAAACAAACCCTAACTAAACCAAATAGATAATACCTGTACTGCTTGAAAGTGTTCAAGAAATGCTGGTGTTGCTTCCAGTTGAATGACGTCATCGCTTCCTGAAAGATTACTCAGAAATGAGTGTCGAGCCTTGAAAAAGGGCAGTCGTCAAGTGGAGGCACTAGGCGGTCTCCGGACAAACGATCTTTGAAGAAGTTCAATCCTGCAATATTCCATCGACTGGATGGTCTTTTTTTGGAAGTCAGGAACCTACTGTTCATCAGCGATGTCAACATTGAACACTTCAATTCGCTCGTCCTCCTTCGCACCATCTCCACTTCCCCAGTATGCATCCTCAACATGTACTATGATACTCAACAATGCTCATTATTTCTTTCTAAATAATGAAAGAAGAGTATTTGCATGTTTCTATGTATTTTGTTCTATTCTGTGTTACTCGTAATCAAGGGCACTTTCCTCTCCACAGCGTTAAACGCACTGTACCTGACACCTTTTTTGAATAGCGAAGGACTTCTTGTACATACTTGTGTTAAACGAAAGTTTCCCAAACTATGCTTATGGACGCACTGAAGCATTTTCACCACTCAAAATAACTGATGGCACTTACCCTTTACTGCACAATCTAAAGTCAGGCCAGTTCTTCACCTACTTAGTTCGTAAGAGGATTTGGCTAAGGGTCTGGGTGTATCATAACCCCCTAAACAGGATGTCCTATCTGCTCGGCACGAGACGGATTACATGCGATGGACGATGGTCTCAAATGCTTGTTTCACCCCGATGCGCGTGGCGCGTTGGACTATAGGCGGCTCCGGCCAAGCACTGTGCTAGTTGGGAAAACATGGCGAGGCAAACTATTATGCGTTGTGTATACTCATTAATATTTTTATCACCTAACGAAAGGCATTGAGCGCAGCCAATTTGGGTGAGTGAAGGAGGAGGGAGGAGGAGGGGCGTATGACTGAGGTAAAAACCGGACAACAATCATTGGTTCGGGAGGTAACCACGCACAGTCGTAAACAGTAAACCATCGCCTACGAAAAGGTCAGCCACCTCTCCCAGAAGGGCCAAATGGTAAATACGACCCTCCCCTCCCAACAATGAGCAAGTAAGACCCTTCCCCTCCCCTTTTACAAGGTATGTGACGTGAGAAAAATCAACTATCAAAATAAATTTTTCTCAGCCCAAATACGACCCCCCTCTCCTGGCGGCCAAATACGACCCTCCCCTGTTGGGGATTCCCCAACAACGATGTGCCCTGGATAAAAAGTGGTCGCTTGGCTGCGCCTCCAGATCCCTTTTCCAAAACGGCTCAGGCTCAGAACACAGATGACCAGAGTCGCCTAGATGGCCCCTCAGGGTGCTAGGGGGACGTGGAGAAACGAGGTTGTGCCAACTCTGTTCCTTTAGCTCTCTGAAGACTGAGCCATTTGTGGGCAAGGGACCATCATCTCCGCAAAAGAGCGCAAACAAGCGGGATTACAAAGCTGTTAGTAGTAGGGACTTACGTCACTCCCTCCTTAGGCGTGGGAACCCTTGTCTTTTCCATTCGCAGAATTTCTGAATTTCTGGTGCGGCGATTCCATGCACAAGAAGGCAGTTCTCACGAAGTTCAGCTACAACAGTGTTACAGGTACCAGAATGGCTTGACTGCGGGAAGCTAGGGAGAATGACCTAAACATTGCATAGGCCAGACACACATCCAACCGTGTCTACAATCTTCAATTTGGAGTGCGAGTGACTGCGCATCCCGAGAAGAGGATCTGACCGCGAACATTTATATGCCTTCATTATATACCGTTATACCAGTGTTTGAAAGAAAAGAGAGATTGCCATGGTGAAACCGCCTACCGGCTTTTTTCAGCCCATAGCTGCCCTTGTCCCTACCGGAATCTTTCTTTACCAGAGCTAGTATCTTATTTGCAGGCGTTGACAGTGCAGCTACTTTTTGAGCAAACAAACGAAAAACGAGACGAACCTCAGCGACACGTTCACATTCGTGTAATGGAACATATTCCAGCCAAATGGTGAAAAGCAGCGGTACAGCGAGAAGAAGAAGGGTGACAAGGACGGAGAGCGATCGGAGCAGCATGACAGGCAAGAAGGTGATGCTCGCGAGGACCTGGACGCTCGACCGGCTATTGCAAAACACTGGACTCGACTCTAAGAGCGAGCTCAATCGAGCAGGTCAAAACAAGGCAACGGAGTAATAAGTTTGAGCGACTGCCTCATTCAGAGAAGAATCATTAGAAAACTTCGAAGCGTTGGCTCTTTCTGAGATGCGCCATGCATTTAACAAATTTTGTGTAACCGACTTTGGGCCAACCACTGATGGCATCAGTGTTCTCACCCTCCCAAATCGAACTGGTAGAAACCTAGCTGACCCTTACAAATCTGATGTGGAACTTGTGTGTGTGTGTGTGTGTGGTAGGTATGTATGTGTGTGGGTGTGGTGGCTATGATTTATGATTTATGATTTATTATCGGCAAACTAGTACAATGGTCGAGGTAAATAACATTGTAGAAGAACAAAACTCCGATAAGGTAAAACTCATGGTTATACAAGAGATAACTTCATGGTTATTACCAAGAGATATAGCTGCTAAGCAATGAGTGGAGAGGTAGTCAGCGCAGAAGGGCAGTGGGCCGCCAACACTGCAAGTCCATAGATGCTCATGTAGGAACTCCGGATACCAACTTAGTAGGTCCGCCAACTTTGCTGACTTAGCTGAGATCCAACTCCACTTGCAGCAGACAGGGTAAACAGGGTAGATAGGAGAAGAAAACATAGTGGTATTAGGATGTACATCAAACAAACAAAATACAAAAACCATGAATTATGAGCTGAAAAACATCATTCACATCAGTATATAAAATACTTTGAATTATTCATTTCCACATCGATACGTGCGCATACCGAGAGGGATTGGACCGGGAACATTTATATGCTTCATCTATATACCGGTTATAACACTGTGTTTTGAAAGAAGAGAGAACGATTGCATGGGTTGAAAACCGCCTAGCTTTTTCAGCCCATAGACTTTGGGGCCCTGTCCCTACCGGAATCTTCTCTTACAGAGTGTATCGATTGCAGACGGTGACAATACAACTGCAGTTTTCTGAGCAACAAACGAAAAAACGAGAACGCACACGCTCAGCGGTTTACGTTGCACATTCGTGTAATGGCACATATTCCAGCCAAATGGTGAAAAGCAGCGGTACAGCGAGAAGAAGAAGGGTGACAAGGACGGAGAGCGATCGGAGCAGCATGACAGGCAAGAAGGTGATGCTCGGCCAGGACTGACCTCGGCCGGCTATGCAAACACTGACTCGACTTTAAGCGACTCAATCGAGCAGGTCAACAAGGAAACGGAGTAAGTTTGAGCGATGCTCATCCAGCAGAAGAATTCATTAGAATCTCGAAGCGTTTGGCTCTTTTCTGGAGATGCGCCTGCATTTACCAAAATCTTTGTGTAACCGACTTTTGGGGCCAACCACCGATGGCATCAGTGTTCTCACCCTCCCAATCGAAACTGGCACCAACTAGCTGACCCTTACAATCTGATTGTGGAATCGTGTGTGTGTGTGTGTGTTGTTGTGTTGTGGTGTATGTAATGTATGTGTGGTGTGTGGTGTGTGTGCATTTATGATTTATTGATTTATTAATCGCCAAACTAGTACAAATGCGAGGTAAATAACGATTGTAGAAGAACATAAACTTCGCGATTGAGAAGTAAAGACTAGTCATGGTATCACAAACGAACTGCATTGGGTTATACAAGAGATATAGCTGCTAAGCAATGAGTGGAGAGGTAGTCAGCGCAGAAGGGCAGTGGGCCGCCAACACTGCAAGTCCATAGATGCTCATGTAGGAACTCCGGATACCAACTTAGTAGGTCCGCCAACTTTGCTGACTTAGCTGAGATCCAACTCCACTTGCAGCAGACAGGGTAAACAGGGTAGATAGGAGAAGAAAACATAGTGGTATTAGGATGTACATCAAACAAACAAAATACAAAAACCATGAATTATGAGCTGAAAAACATCATTCACATCAGTATATAAAATACTTTGAATCATTCATTTCCACTACAAAATCGCTTCTCGATCTGTTCAAGTTAGTATGGTTTAATTTCTGTTCTCAAAACCAACCCTGAGATATCATAATTCGCCTGACTTTATTCCTGAAGGCCTTAGAGGAGCTCGAGTTAACAACATCGACCGTAAATCGTTCCAGAAAGTAATAACTCTTTGGGTAAAAGAATTTCGAAACTCAGTTGATCTTGTTTTCTCTCTCATTATCCTAAAGTTGTGACCCCTAGTACGTCCAATTGTTGAAGATTTTGTAAACAAGAGATCGAAATCTAAATCTACAGAGCCAACACTGAGCTTGTAAACGAAGTCGTAGTCGTATAGTTTCCTTCTCATCTCAAGAGAGTCCTCTTTCAGATATTTTAGCCTGTCTTTATACGAAATGTGAAACATGCCTCCACGGGCGAAAATTCTCTCAGTAAATTTAGACTGAACACTCTCAATAAGTTCAACCATATGGCGAGTATGGGGCTCCATAACATGGGACAATATTCAAGGGTGGGGCGCACATATGCAGCAAAAAGCTGGAACAAAGTTTTCATATTTCTCGAAGAGAATGCTCTTAAGATATAATTCGCCTTGCATTGCGCCATATGCACTGCTCTGGTAATATACTCATTGGAAATAAAGATTTGGAATACAATATGCCCAAGTCCTTAAGTGTATCCGGTTCCTTTAGCTCAACACCCTCAAAGGAAAATTTGGGAGACGAGGGGCAGTTGGGACCCAGTCGGAGGGCAACCGTTTTCTCCGGTGAAACTGCAAGTCCCCATTTTTTAGCCCAATCAGCTATGCCATCAATGGCAGCTTGCATTAGGACAGGTTTCCCTGTGCAGTACACCTTGACATCGTCCGCATACATGGAACACAGCACACCGGATGGAATACAACCTGGCAAGTCATTAATGTACATAATAAACATCAATGGACCTAAACAAGATCCTTGAGGGACACCACTGTCCGTTCGGTATATTCTAGAGCAAGTTCCATTGATCATGACCCT